AAACAGACGTCATTTCAATACAATTTTACAAAATATATAAAAAAAATAGAAACACAAACACTGAAGAAAAAATACAACACACAGATACAAAAACAAAAGCAAACTGCATAAAACATTAACTCTGCTGCTGCCGACGCCGCCGTTGTTACAACGGAATTTTTCAATTACGTTTTCAAGACCTCATTCGTGTCAAATTAGTTACAGCTTTGAGCAAAATTTTTTAATAAAAAAAAATAAGATGAACAAGAAAAAATGTTAAATTTTAACTTAAATTGCAATTTTTTGGTTTAGATTTTTATATTTCAATAAAATTTTCTTGAAAAAGTTACAGATTTTAGAGAAATTTTCTTAATTTTTTTAAAGCAGCCACTTACTTTTTATTGTAATTTCTTTTTTTAACAAATTATTTGTTCTTCTTTTACATATATTGCACTGTTTTGTTGTTGTAGAGAAAAGTTGTTATTAATTTAAAGAAAACTATAGAAAATATATTAATTTAACACAAAAAAAACTTAAGAAAACACAAATTTTAATTGATGACTCGTATTATTTTTTTGCCGTGTGTAGTTGAGTGTGATTGTTGTCAAATTCTTCTTCTTTTTAACAGTAATGCACTTTTTTCTTTAAGTAAACACACTCATTTACTTTTTTTCTACTCACTCCTTTGCACTCGTTTTTAAATTTTGCTTTTATTTGTTTTTCTTTCTTTAAACAAAGCAAATTGTGTTGACAAAAAGTAAAATTAAAAAAAAAACACCTTAAATTTTAATTAAATACTTTATAAAATTTATTTTATTAGTGTTGAATTCGGGCGTTTTTATTCCTTTTTTTGTTAAGCTATTGCATTTTTGTTGTTTTGTTTTGCTTTTTTTGCCACTTTTTTTTTCTTGATGTGTGAGCTCATTCACTAAATTTTGTTGCTTGTTTTCTTTGCTTATTGTGTTTTTTCTTATCTTGCTTTTATTTTTATAATTTTATTTCATTTATTTTCTATACGTACACTTTGCGCGACTTGTCTTTTTTTTTTTCTTCAATATATTTTTATCGTATTTACTTTTCGGTTTGTTTTTTTTTTTATTATTTGCCTTTATATATATTGCAGCTTTATATGAAAAGGTGTGTGCGCAACAGTTCGTAATAAATTTTCTTTTTTTTTTTCTTATTTGTCGTACAAAATATATTTTAAACTTTTCTCAGATTCTAATAATTAATTTCGTTCCAAATTATTATTTAATATCGTTAGAAATTGTTTTTGTTATTTCTAATTGTCTCTCGTTAACACTTTAAAATTCTTGTTATTAAAAAAAAATTATAAAATTTATTTTTATCGTGTATTTCTCTAAAAAAATTGCGACCGCTCGTTTACCAACACGTTTAACTTCTCGTAATGTCAAATCAACACTGTTAAAATTGCTTCTTCTTTTTACACACCATAAATCACTGTAAATACCTATATATAAAGTAGCCATATTTTATAAGTGAAAAACGCCTAATTAAAAACCACTAATTTTGAGCAAATAACCTTTAAATACTATTATATACAAAGAATTTAAAAAAAAAACAAAATTTTCTTGTACGATTTGTTCTTATACTTATTATACTATTATTAAATCACAATGGACCCTTAGAAAAAATAAACGCTATTTTTATTAATAAAGTAACTTAACACTGGCAACACTGCCTAATGTTCAGCTCTTTTGCAGAGTTGTAATAATAGGTAGTATAATTTTAGAGTGGCCATATTATTTCTTTCAAAGCTCACTTAAACCATATTTAGAGTGGATTTTTTATTCATAAGAAATGTTACTCATGTAATAAAACAGAATTATCAGGTGAACGGTTGTGCCAATTTTTTTTTAAATTATTTCAAAAGCTTTGGTAAGAATAGATTTAGTAATAAAATAAGTAAACATTAAAATCGGCACTGACCGCGCAAGGTTTGTAGGAAGCATTCTAGCAAGATCTGAGTCCTAGGTCCTGTAAATAATTAACACAGAAATTTGTTAAATACATAGAGTCGGACGACCTTTATGCGGCGTTAAAGTTTGTTAGGGTTCAAGTCCCCTGAATTTAGTTACAAATTATATGTATTACAACTTAAATTACCGAGAAGAGCTACGAAGACTAGAATCTACACGCTTTATAATGATGCAAATATAATATTATAAGCAATATAGAGCCTATTGACATAGTGGTCCGAATATTTTGCCTAAAAAAAATAAAACTATCAAATTATTATTAAGTAAAAATACAGTTAACCCATTTATGACTTCAAAATTGCTATCAACGTTCTTGCGACCTCTTATTTAATTACAAAGCTTACATCAGATGGAAAGACGTTTAATCATATGGATACTTAGGGAATTTGAAAACATTGATATAGGAACAATATTGTTCAATATTTTATTAAGAACAGAAATAGATTGTTTTGTGCAGATATTATGTAGAGTGCTTAATGGACTTATGGCTAATTAAATCTTTTGCGAAATATGTTCACTTTCAGCAAAATTCCAATGACAAATTTTACTTACTACTACTTCCAGCACTTTTAGAACATATTTTTATCTTCGATTTTATTACACAACATTTTCTTTTTAACAAAATTAACACTTTACGAAAAACGCTTTTTCTCCTAAGCCTCTACTTGCTTCTGCTCACCCTTAGGATCCTTAGACATTAATTCTCTCAAAATATCCTTTTTCGATTCGAAATATTCTCTATACCACATAATGTGTTCCTTTTTCTCCTTGGCTGTAATATAGGGATTCTTAGAGAGACCCACACACACCAGCTCCATAAAATGTCTAACAGGACCACGATTGGGACACCAATCTTCTAGATGTTGTTCTAAGAATATATGCTCCGAAAAGTCTACATCCTTTTCGTCCAACCAATCTTGTTCGTTGTCGATGGGGAAACGCCAGATTTTACCCTGTTCCGTCCAGTTAGCTAATTTATCGAAATAATTGGAAGGAGGATGAGCCACTTGAATCTTAAGAGCTTGCTCTTGTAGGTAAGACCAAGTGGGCAACATATCCGGGGATTCCTTTAAGCTAGAGGGTTCAGTAAAGATGCCCAAGGGTTCACCACCAAACAAATTAACACTGCCGGTATAAAGTTCGGCCTCACGTTTGCGTTGCATAGGACGTCTGTCTTTGGAATATTCCTGTCGTTTGTTTTGCTGTTGTTTGCCTTTGGCAGCTAGGCTACGTCTAACATACTCACTGCGTGTGTTAGTAGGTTCCTTTTGGGTTTGACGACGATCAATTTTCATGCCCACAATCAACTCACTTAAGCTAATGTCGGGTTCTGTGGAAGAGCTAGTAGCAGATTTTTGTTCATCTGTTGTCGCCGCAGTTGCCGAGGATTTGCCACCCAATAATCTGGTCAACAATTCCGATTCAGTTTGTTGCTGCTGCTGTTTTTCATCACCCAACAAGGAGGCTACTTTTTTGGCTGCCGCAAAAATATCTTTCGATTCCACCTGTTGCTTTTGTTGCAATTTCTTCTTTTTATTAGCCTCACCCGGTTTGGTGACCACATCGTTGCGTTTGGCAAAATTTATTTGATCGTCAGCCGTTTGCATGGAGGCCAATAGCCTATTTAACTTGGCCGAAGCTGATTCTTCATTGGCTGAGCTGTTAGCTTCCTTAGCTAAAGGTTTTTCGGTTTTTTCCTTTTTAGACTTTTTGGTTTCCTTCTCGTCGTCTGAGGAAGCAGCATAATCTTTGCTATAGTTACGATTTCCACCGGCCAATAAACGTGCTGCTACATGTCTATTAGGATTTCATAAAAATATTGTTTCTATAGTAGTTTTGAAGTAATTTTTTTTATAGAATACTTGCCTAATGGACAACTCCTGGGTTTTACGTAAATATAACATGTCGTTTTGTTATTTTTAATTAAAAAATTCTAATAATTTTCAAGCAGTTGTTACATGAAAAATTCTACGAACAGCAGTAATAATTTTGACAGCTACTGGGGGAGGTTGAACATATGTTCGTATACATGGTTGTATTTTTTGGTAGGGTTTAACCCCATAAGGGATAGGGGTACTTTATAAGCCAGTAAGTGTACTTAAAAGTATGTATCTTAAGTCAAACGGTACTACCGGAAACTTTCCAAAGTTAATTAATGTTTTATTAAAAAATATACAGAATTCAAATACAATTTCCAACTTCGCTAGCAACCCCGAAATCAAGTCATTACATCAATATACATTTTTGGATTCTGAGCAATATTATCCTCCATAATTCTCTTCTTCATCGCCTCCCACTGTTCCATGCGTTCTTGAATCTCCGGTATAACCGATTTAACTTGCAGCCGATCAATTTCCGCTCCATCTCTCAGTTCAATTTGTGTTTTGAAATTATAGTTCGGCGTGTAACCATTCAGTTTTAGAAAATGATCAAAATAAAATGGTACAATTTGTTCTTGAGTCGTGTCCAGTTGTGTAATACTATCCCTAAACTCGCTGGCCTCCTCAATGAGGCCGTCTTCGTGAAAGGCGCGAAAAAAGAATTTGGCTCGCTCGGTTATTTTCTTCTCTTCGATTTTTACAGTTTTTGCTCGTTTTTTAATGAAATAACGGGGTAGTTTGCTGGGCCGGCGTTTGGCCTTTTGATAGGGAGGTTCTAGATTCTTAACCACCTTTTTCATTTCCATATCTATACGCCGCTCTATGTGATAAGCCTGATAGGATTGTTTGCGCAAGTAAGCCCGTTTAGAGCGTAGTTTGTTTTCGCTCTGGCGGGCCAAATCCATAGGTATGGTTTCGAATTTAGCTGGAGAAGAGTACATGTTAAATTAATATATAAACTTTTTGTTGAAATACCTTACCTATAAGCTCCATTACCACTTCCGACATCATGGCCACCATTTCTATGGTATACAATTCTTGACCACTGGTTCCCCTTAAACTGGCGGGCACTATACGACGCCAAGCTTCCCCTATAATAGCACGATCTTTTTGAAATGACACATCATTAAAGCACTCCTCGATAGGTTGTTGTAGAAAACGTAAAGTACGTTGACTTAACCATTTGGCGCGATCAGACATAAAATATAGTTTAGCACATTTGCGACTTACAAATTGCTCTTTGTCCTGCAAATCATCCGCACACCAATCCACAAAAGTTTCCAATTTGTATTGCAATTCGGTGTGTAGATTAAAGGTGAAATGCATTTCGAGTAGTAAAACAAATGTCTTGTTTTTTAAATTTTCCAGACCCTCTAGGAAACTTAAGGCATTGGGAAATACTATTAGATTATCATGTTTATTGCGCAAATATTCTTCTTCATAAAAGGTTTTTATAGCCCAGGCATCATCCTTTTCACGTTTGCGTATATTCATAGTAGAGCGTTTGGCTATAGAAACCTCAAAGTTTTCCAATTCTTCTTCTTCTTCAGCTTCGAGACGATGAATCCAATCGTTCTGCACACGCCACTCTTGATCTCCTAGCAAATAATGGAAATTTTGCAGCATAATACAACGCACCCAATGACCCTCTATAAAAACAATGTCCATATTGAGTATAACCATTTCACGTTCTAGGTTTTTCAGTTGAGTTTTCAAACTATCGGTTTCATCGTAGTAATTTTTCACCTTATAAACCACCGCCATGGCGGCATCATATTCCCGTTTCTCCCATTTGGCAAAAAGTTTCTCAAACAATTCCTTAACCCTTTGCATGTCACACCAATGTTGTTCGTTTAGGCGATCATAGATTTTAGTGCGCACCATTTGTCCCTGTATTAGCAGGGATTCAAATTTCAAACGTAAAGCATCCTTGATGAAGGATTGGCCGCTTTTGAATTTAATTTGTTTAATTGCCGGTCTATTCTTTAACTCTTCCACATAGTTTTCCTCGATATCGGTGGCCACCACACCTTTGTGTTTGTTAGAGCCTTGACCTAATAGCTTTTCCCTAACATCTTCTATGGGTACCTCCAAACGCAGACGCAGGCCATTCTTTAGACGTGTATTAAAAGTGAAAAAACTATCCTTGGCTGTAGTTAATTCTAGTTGAGCTTTCTTTTGTCCGGCAAAAGGTAACATTTGGAAAGGATTGTTTTGCTCTTTATCCACATCTATGGGTACGGCTTGAAAGCGTGATCTCTGCAATTCCTCAAAGGGTACTATAGATTTGCGTATATAATCCAAAGGTATCTTTTCTTTGCCCTCCATTAGCAAATAACTGCCGCTGTCATTGGTAAGATTTGTGCAGACAGAACTACTCAAGGAGGTCAAGCAACTTTCTATGCTTTTTAAATCTTCCTCCAACTCTGTGAATAAATCCGTTTTATTAACATAAAGTTTTGTTGTTGGATCCTCCATTTGCTGACTTTCTTTATATAATTCTCTGGCATCTCTCAGTAATTGCAAGTATTCTTGGCGTCCCGGATAATCAAGGTTTTCCAGTTCTTTGGGATCTCTAGTTTGTAACTTGTAGTCATTTTGCTGGCAGATATCTGGAGTTTTTACCACACCCGAATCCTTTGTTTTAATTTTTTTGCTTTTGTTTTGTTGATCCTTGATCATTTCTTCAAAATTATACTGAGGACAACTTAGATCCATGTCAACAAACTGATTACAGGGAGGATTGGCCATACGAAAGTTTTCCATTAGCACACGATCAGTTTTCTTTTTAATTTTCGTAATTTCTGCTTGCACCAATTGTGGTTGGTAGTGTACGCGTACCTGTTTGACCTGGGTGGCTTTCCAATGATCATGATGATGTCGCGCTTCGAAACGATCAGTGTAAGGCCGCCGTTTTTGTTGCTCAACATTAGCCAGTTCCACTTCATCCTCAGCCAACTTTTGCATATAGGGCAAGTTAGTGCTTAAAACTATTTGATCGAATATTTCGGATGCCACTCTTAGTTTGTTATAATCTCTTGGATTTCTGGGATGTTGCCGTAAAGTAGGTTCTCGATATTTAGGAGCTGGCATATTGCCACGTAATTTTAAGGGTTTTATTTCCCTTTCTAGAGGACGTAAATCTTCGTTCTCTAACTCATCTACTAATGGTTCTTGTGCTGGCACCCAGTCGCTATCGGAACTGCTAGAAGAATTTTCACATTTTGTTTGTAAACGTGATTTTTTCAATGGCCTACAGGGTATACCCAAAAGTTTAAGTCTCTGCTGTTTCATCTGCTCTTGTTTACGCTTCTCCCTAAGAGCTTTGGCGGCCATAAACTCATTGGTTGATTTAAGTTTTAAAATTGCTACATCGGCCAAAGGATCTTTAAGCTGGGAAAATCTTTTCGAGGTATCACCAAAACGATAGCTGATCAAATTAAACTTCTTGACATTATAGCGTAAGCGTGGTTTGGCAAATTTCAAATTTTTACGTCTAACACGTTCATAATGTCGCCCTAAAGGTTTGTGAATATAGTCCCTTATGGTAGAGCCTTCCGCTTGGGGTGGTTTAAAACCAAATGGTGGTGGAAATAACACTAATTGCGGATCATCTGGTGTGCGTAATTTTTGTATGCCCATCTCTACATCCAGTTTTATGTGCTGCTTTTTGGGTGCCAACTCTTTTAGCCATTGTTCACGTGTTATGCAAGTCTTTTCCTTACGTGTTCCCCGCAGTTTCTCATGTTGTGTCAGTTTGCCTCTTAATTTGGTGTCCATTTTATATTGAAAACCTCGAAGTTTAAATTTGCTTGCCTGTTTACCCACTTCCAGATTATCTTCATCATCTGTAGATTGTTCGGTTAAGTTGGAATCTGTTACATTGCGTTGTTCATTAGTCTCCGAGCTTATTTCCAACTCAGCAGCTGGTATCTTCTTAACTTTGCCTTTACGTTCCAAAAAGAACTCTTTTGTTACTCGGGCTTTATCACGTTTTATAAGATTTGTATGTTTTAAATCTCTCTTGAATTGTTTAGTCTCTTGCATAGTATGAGGGAAGCTGCGTCTTTCAGTTTCTATCTTCTTCTTTACATTCAATTCTATTCCTGCACATCTTTCTATGGTTTCATCTATGCTTGTCACAAGTTTCTTGAGATTTGCATCGGCTAAAGTCAGTGCCAGATTTTCGTTCTCCACCTTTTTGCGTACTTCTTCAGCTAGTCTTTTCTGCTCTTGTCTTGCCTTGTTTCGCAGATAAAGATCTTTGTATCGTTCTCGACGCCGTTCATTTTCCAACATTATTAGCTTCTGATTATGGGGTTTGTCGGCTGAACGATAAAGTTTACCTAACTTTAAAGGGGTTTCAGGTGGAGTAGCCTGTACAGCTTCATTGCGATCTCGTATATCGAAACGTTTGGGTACCTAAACAAAAGAATTGGATTACAATTTATTCGAAATATTGTAAAAACCCCGATATCTGTCAATTCTCCCATCCCATTTTCACTTACATTTATCATTTCCTCATGTAACTCCGCCTCAACAATTGCCTCCGTTTCGGCCTTTACTCTCCTTCTCTCCATATAGCGGCATACCCTGCGATAGTTACGTTGATTTTGAAAATCCTGTTCATCTTTTTGATACGTATTCTGATAGTCTAGACCCTGAAAATCCAATTGCATTGGATTCTCCAAATCGATTACTTCACAAATGAAATCCTCTGAAGATTCAGAAGCCGTAGCAGCGCAAACATTTTGTGCATGTTTAACCATTTTCGTTAAAGTTGTGAATTCTTTTTTCTTGGAATATTCCTTGCTGCGTAAAACTTCCGGATTGACGAGACATTGTACTTTACGAGGATCTTGCGTTAAAAAGAATTTTTGTCTTGACTTAGACATTTTCGATAATTGTTCATAATTGGCGGGACATGTTCCGGTGTATTTGCGAGGAGCTCCGGCCACAAAACTCTCTTTACAGGGTCTACGCCATTCGGCACCATGGAAATTCGTAGGTTTCTCAGAGCCTTCATGTTGACTATCGATCATTTGCTGTGAAGTGGCTGTTTGTTGTTTTCTGGTTGGTTTTGAACTCTTTAAAGTATCTGATGACTGCTGTTTGAGGGGTTTAACTTCAGATGATGTGTTTGACGAACATTTGGCTCGAAATTTTTTCGGTATCGTTACCACCATTTGGGCAAAATATGAATTTGTTGAACTGGTAAAGTCATAACCACGTTCTTTAGCTGCTGTTGGTGTTGTACTGGATTCGGGATGTTTTAGTTCATTTCTTTGACATTTTACTTTAAACATTCCGGTCCTATTGCTGTTTATTTCGGGAAATTGTAGATTTTGTATGGACACAGTCTGTTGCGAAATTTGTTCATTTCGTTTTGCTGTTGTATTGGATCTATACGAGGAATCTGTGGATGGTGATTCTTGCATATATTCCAGTTTATATTTATTTTGTTGTTTATTTTTAGTACCACGACGACTTTTCGAAGACGTTGCCATTTTTGGAGAAAATATTAAAAATATGTATGACAAATATGGATAAAACAGTTTGAAAATTGTTTGTGAAAGTTTTTTAAAATTATCAAATAAAATCGATTTATTTTTCAAATTTTCTTAGATTCGATAATACGAGGGTTGAATAAGTTTAATTCTATAAAGTTTATGTGCGATCGTAGGGATCTGAAACAGTCAGTGTTACTTTTTCCATGACTTGACAAATACTATTGATTTGTGATGGTCAAGAGGTCAGAAATTTTAGATTTTTTGAAATCTCTTTAATATGCAGCTCTGTTCATCCAAGTTTTTGAGCGATCGAAGTTAACTAAGACAAAAGCTATTGATATGTGATCGAAGAGTAACTTCTTGGCAATTTCTTTAATTGCTTTAATAAGCAACTCTGATCGTAAAAGCCTATGTACGATCGAAGGTATCTAACATATACAATATTAGTTTTTACATGCCTCAGTGTTCTAATCCAATTTCTGAGTTCTTTTTACTTCAACAATGACTTCACCAAAGCTATTGATGTGTCATCGAAGTGTAATTTCTATGCCCGTTAAACTTCATAGAACATTAATTATATTAGTTCCAATATAAGAAAGTAATTTCTGAAAAAGGTTGCCAGGAAATATCTGTGCGGTAGCATCGTCGTTCAGTGAACAAAACATGAAGTTGACGATCTTTTCCGTATGTGACATTTATTAAGAACAAAAATGAATTGACCTTTTAAAAGGAAACAGCTTCAAACAGCGACATTTAACACCAACTTTAAAGCACTTTCACACACCACACTTTTCACTAAAATAAATTCTTGGAAACTTTTTAATGTATATAAAATATATAATATGTATGTATATAATATTATGGGGAATATTATGCAAAAAAAAAAATTAAATTTGTTATTAAAAAAAAATTATGTAAATCTATAAAAAAAAATGATGCAAATTAAAAAAAAGTTATATATAAGCTATATAAGACATGAGAGAAACAAAGTAAAAAGCTACTAAAGTAAAAGAGTAAAGTCAGTAATTGTTAAAAAGGATTTTCTTGGAAAATTTTCGAAATACCATATATAGTAAAATTAATGAGTTTAAAATGCTAACAAGCTAGGGCTTTTGCGTTGCAACTAATAGTTAGAATTATGAAAATAAATAATGTCAGTTAATAAGGCAGGGTTTTTAGGTCTATATCTGGAAATACATATAGTATGGGAGCTCTAAAATAATAATATACGTTTTTCTACGGTTTTGCGGCATATGGGACAACCATCGATTTGATCGCCACAATTTTGACAAGTACCATGTCCACAAAGGAAAACCATATTTTTCATGCGATCAAAACAAACGGGGCACATGGTCTGTAAAGAAAGGAAAGGGTATTAAAAGTTTAATAAGAAGTATTTTTTCCTAATACTCAAGGAAAATCTTTAAAAACTTTTAAAATTAAGTTTAATTACTTTATGCTTACCTGTTCTTTAATATCCTGTAATTGTTGTTTGAGCTTTTGTACATCATCCATTTGGAAATTATTAACATTGGATGGTGCTACCAGGCCACTATTGCTGGCATTATTTGCAGCAGCTGCGGCCGCTAATAGATTATTTTGTGATTGCACCTGTTGGGCAGCATTACCATTGGGTGTTGTGGTTAAGGTATTATTCATGGCTACACCATGACCGGAAGTATTAATACCACCACCAGTGGGCAGCATAGCTTGTGGTTTTTCATTTTCATTATGCATATTGGGATTATGCACCTGTTATAGGATGAATATTAAAAAAATAAGCTAGCAATTGCTTTATTATAATACAATTTTGAGTAATTACCTTTTCTATGCTACCCTCACCGCCACAGCATAAGGAATAAGGCATGATTTCTTCAATTTGTGTACGACATAATACACATTTCTTCATTAAACTGGAACAATTCTCACAGGCCACCATATGGCCACAGGGTTTAAAGAATACTGCAGCCCGGCGATCTGAGCAAACTAAACATTCATCGATTTTTTCACGTGAGGAAACGGTTTCGCGGCATATCAAACATTTCTTAACGCGTGGGGCACAATTATCGCAGCAGCAAACATGGCCACAAGGCTGAAATTGAAAAGAAAACAATATAAAATTCTTTGCCTTTTTTGAGAATTCCAATCACCTACCTTAAATACCGTATCTCGTTTATAATCCGAACATAAGAAACATTCCTCCAAAGTGGAAGCATTAGTTGTATCATTATTGGCTGCTGAGGAAGTTATATGCAAAGATTGTGTTAGATCCTGAACCAAAGTATTTAGCCCACCATTAACTGAACCCGTAGCGACCGCATGTTTAGGCATATTAGCTGTTACAGCGGCATTAGCAGCCGCTGAACTTGATGCTACTGCTGCTGATAAAGGTCTTGGTTGGGCTGCGGCTGAGCTGTGGGCCAAAGCTTTAGCTCTAGTACTGGTGCCAGCCACATTACCCGGTAAATCTGTATCATCTGTCTTGCGTTCATTATAACATTTCACTAAATTCTTGCATAAATTCGGATCGGGACACAAATCTAAAGGTGTTTGCAATTTACGATTCTTTAGTGTTAAATCAGCTCCATTAGCCGCTAGAAAACAGGCTATGGAAGCAGAAGCCTTTTTATTATTAGGATTTCTAAGACCCATCAATAGTTTGCCAAAACCCTCCACATCTTGCAATTGTTTCAGCTGAGATAAAGTGTGATGCCTTAAGGCTTCGTGCAGCGGTGTATCACCATCTTTATCGGGAATGTTAAGATTGGCGCCTTCCTGTACTAACAGCTTAACAATTTGCACATGTTGACGTTCCACCGCCAAATGTAAAGCCGTCTGTAGATTAACATTTTGTCTATCCATATTGGCCTTACCCATATGCACCAAAAGTTCAGCTATTTCTACATGATTATTTAATGCGGCCAAATGTAAAGCGGTATAGCCATCATCTTTCTTTTCTTCCACAATCCATGGACGATTGGTTTTTGTTAATAAAATCTTCATGGCGCTAGGATTGCCTTTAAGGGAAGCATGATGTAAAGCATTGAAACCATTATTATTGGTGAGTGTTATATCAGCGCCATAATCCAAAAGTAAACTTAACATTTCATCGTGTTCTTTGGAAATGGCATCATGCAAAGGAGTATCACCTTCAGAGTCTTGCAAACTGGGATGACAACCCAAACTCAATAAAGTCTTTACCACATTCAAATGTCCCTTATTGACGGCTATATGTAAAGCTGTCTGACGTCGTTTATTGCGAGCATTAAGGTCAGCTCCTGCCTTTGAGAGTAATTCAATAACGGCCGGTTCATCACCAAAGGCAGCATGATGTACAGCACGATCACCATCTTTATCTTCGATTTCAACGTCCACATTATGGCAAAGTAAAATTTGTATGACTTCAATGTGTCCATTTTGGCTAGCAGCCTGTAAAGCGGTATGACCAGCAAACACACCATTAACATCGGCTATGGTATTAACAGTTTGTGCAGCGCCCGCTGAGGAAGAGGCTGCAGCTCCAGAAGAAGAACTGCTGGAAGCCTGCACCGCTCCGGTTAAGTATTCCTCACAACGTTGCTGTAATATAATACAAAAAATATTTATTACTAAAACATTCTTTTAGGAAACTAAATTTCAACATACCGCATAACCATTAGCCGCTGCCTTAACGAACTCCTCAGTAGCATCTCCCGAAACACTGGGCTCAAATAAGTGTTTTAAAATCGCCGACAAACGTTCACCACTTGATATGACGGGCACACAACTGCCATCCGCATTGGCGGATGCCACTTTTGTTACCGCCAATGGATTATAAGTCCAAGAGGTATTACCCACCTCTACCTTTAGATCATTATCATGATAGACCTGTTGTACTCTACCCACTTTACCCAAAGTCAATTGCATAGCATCGGCCCATTCACCATGACCCTTTTGCATTTGTTTAATACTCTCGACATCTGAACAGATCTTAACAATATCACCAACTTGAAACTCGGGTGGTGCCGTTGTAGGTGAGGCTACCTTGGTAAGTACGGCTGGATTAAAAGTCCAACGATTACCGGAATTGTAGCCAACTACTATATCGTGATCTTCATCGATACCCACTACGAGGCCTACATTATTGAGACACTCAAACATACCATCGGTCCAACCGCCATGGCCATGTTGTAACGATTGTACAATTTCCAAGTCCAAATCGACGGTGACTTTATCGCCAATTTGAAAACCGTGTGGTCCTTTGCCAGGACCATTTTCTCCCAGCAGGGGAAGATGATCGCGATAAACTGTATTGCCTTTGACATCGTTGACGACCTGGAAATGTTATGAGGTAAAATTGGAACTGATCTAAAGAACTAAACTAGAGCAGAACTAGGACAGAACTAGAACTGAACTAGAACTGAACTAGAACTGAACTAGAACTGAACTAGAACTGAACTAGAACTGAACTAGAACTGAACTAGAACTGAACTAGAACTGAACTAGAACTGAACTAGAACTGAACTAGAACTGAACTAGAACTGAACTAGAACTGAACTAGAACTGAACTAAAACTGAGCTAGAACTGAACTAGAACTGAACTAGAATTGAACTAGAACTGAACTAGAACTGAACTAGAACTGAACTAGAACTGAACTAGAACTGAACTAGAACTGACTAGAACTGAACTAGAACTGAACTAGAACTGAACTAGAACTGAACTAGAACTGAACTAGAACTGAACTAGAACTGAACTAGAACTGAACTAGAACTGAACTAGAACTGAACTAGAGCTGAACTAGAACTGAACTAAAACTGAGCTAGAACTGAACTAGAACTGAACTAGAATTGAACTAGAACTGAACTAGAACTGAACTAGAACTGAACTAGAACTGAACTAGAACTGAACTAGAACTGAACTAGAACTGAACTAGAATTGAACTAGAACTGAACTAGTACTGAACTAGAACTGAACTAGAACTGAACTAGAACTGAACTAGAACTGAACTAGAACTGAACTAGAACTGAACTAGAACTGAACTAGAACTGAACTAGAACTGAACTAGAACTGAACTAGAACTGAACTAGAACTGAACTAGAACTGAACTAGAACTGAACTAGAACTAAACTAGAACGGAACTAAAACTAAACTAGAACTCACCTTCAAATCAGCCATTCCCTCAAAACCCACACGATACAAATTCTTTGCACCATTATCCCAAACAACATAGGCGGCGGAACGTGGTGAAGCCGAAGACCAGTCTTGTATTTCATTAACTTTACCACGACGACCAACGCCACCATCTTGATCTTCCCATTGCCAGTCGACACCGCGTACTACACGCGCTCCCGGAAAAATACCACGTACTGCTACTTTCTTCGATTTACGTCTTGGTTCAATCATAGTACGTTCACCACCCGGTGTTGCAATGCGATAAAAACGATGTCTTAAATGATGCTTATCGCCATGATAACAAATCGAACATAAGTCATAGTTAACACACTCGGCACACTTCCAACGTATACCAAAAATGGGCTGTTGACGGCAGGTATCACACATAGTGCCATCATGTTTAATACCCGTCGCAGCACTATCCAATATACGTAAATCGTAAGCGCCGGCGCAACGATAATTAGCCGCGGTACCATTAT